CTCACCAACAACAGGGCTAGTACAAGGACCTATGCGGATTATTAGAAGGCATCAAGTAGCTGTAAGAAAAAGTCTACACAAGCCTGGTAAGTCTCAAGCTGTGTGACAATTAGTGGGCAGAGGGGACAATAACAGTGTCTAATTTCTGGACAACTTCCTACGGCAGATAATTTCCTAGTCCAAACGCATTTCTATCAGTGCCTCTCAAAACCCTTCACAAGAATGATCCAACCATTTTAGAGAGCAATTTGGAACTATGCCCAAAAGGCTATAAAAATGTGTATACCCTTTGACCCAGCAATAGCACTTCTAGGGCTGTATCCCAAAGAGATCATACAAATGGGAAAAGGACCCACATGTACAAAAATATTCATAGCAGCTCTTTTTGTGGTGGCAAAGAATTGGAAATTGAGGGGATGCCCATCAATTGGGGAATGTAGTTGTGGTATATGAATGTAATGGAATACTATTGTACTATAAGAAATGATGAACAGGCTGACTTCAGAAAAACCTGGAAAGACTTGTATGGTCTGATGCTGAGTGAAGTGAGCAGAACCAAGAGAACGTTGTACACAATAACAGCCCGTTGTGTGATGATTAATATTGATAAACTTAACCCTTCCTGGTAATACAAGGATCTAAGACATCTCCAGAGGCCTTATGATGGAAAATGCTATCCACATCCAAAGAAAGAACTATGGAAGTCGAATTGCTATTTTTTTTCTCTTCTGTTGAGTTTTGTTTCCTCTTTCTGATGGTTTCTCCTACTGGTTTTAATTTTGCTTATAACATCACTAAAGTGAAAATATGTTTAATAGGAATGTAAATGTATAGCCAAATCAGATTGTGCGCCGCCTTGGGGAGGGTGGTGGGGAGGAAGGGGGAGAAAAATTTTAAACTCAAAAGCATATGGAAGTGATTATTGATAAATCAAAATAAATTAATAAAAAAAACCCTTCACAAGAACTGTACACCGAAAAGACAGAACTCTACATTGTCTTATCTATTTCATAAACAGTTAAAAAGAACCCACCTGAAGATAACCTCCTTTTCATGTTCCCCTACATTTTCAGTTGCCATTGTACTTAACAGAAAATGCTACAATCAGTTCCTGAAAATGAACCTTGTCACATTTAGCATGAGAACAGTATCTGATCTTGCAGCATTACAAACAAAAGGAAAAACACTGTGGTTGTTTTTCATGATTATCAGAAACAAACAGCATAATTTTAAACTCAGCATCATTAGGAGAGGCCTATCTCTCATCCTACCAAAAAGAAAAAAAAAATCAAGCTCACTGAACATTAAATTAATCTATCCTTGGGCTTCATTACAACAAAATGAAATATTCATGAAGAAGTAAAGGGTTGGATTATTGATGAACAAATGGCATTTGAGAAGATGAATGTCATGCTGACTAATGGCTTTTTCTCAATAGGATCCCTTATTTTAAATTAATCCAATCACTTCTTTATATTGCCATCTGAATAATCCCTGACATCACTCCTTTGTTCAGAAATCTTCAGTGGCTCCCCCTTCCCTATTAAGTTTAGACCCCGTTGATTGAGGTTCAAGGTCCTCCACAGTCTGACATCTTTCTACCTTTTCAGCTTCCTCCCATACTATTGTTACCCAGCACATGTCTGTGCTCCACAAGACTGGACTGTTTTCTGACCCCAGCTATATTCCTGGTGCTGTCACCCCTGTGTGCCTTGGCTTACACTGCTCTCCATGCCTGGGATAGCCTGCTTTTCCCTCTTAATCTACTGACTTCCTAACCATCCTTTAAAGTCCAATTGAAGCGTCAGCCCCTATCATGAAGGTAACCCTGATACCCACTGCCAGGGCTGATCTTTCCCCTCTGACCTCACTCAGGGCTCCTAATGCACTTATCTTATGTAACCTCCATATGTTCAGGATTTTCTTTTCCTTTGGATTTTTCTCTCTAGGCTAGAGAAAAGCAGGATGAATGCCAAGGTGATTTGCCTAGGCCATTTAATATAAAAGCAGTTACCAAAAGTTGTTCTCATGTCACACTTTGAGGGGGGGCATTTGAAAAAAGGGTCACTGTGCTTTACAGGGAAGACATCAGGGATTTAGAAGAGGTTGGAAGCTGGGAGATGAGCTCAGCTGGGGATAAGGAGCTAGCCTGGTTTATTTTTTCAATCTGATTGAGGAGCCCCACCCAGACAATACCGGATGACACACAATGAAGTATTCCAGAGACCTGTCAGAGAAGATGCCAGAAACAGCCCCTGAGCTGGTGACGAGCTATTGTAGCATTGACCTGAAGAGCTTTTGCCTGTCTTGTTGCTTAGGAGAGGTGAGAAGCTTTCTTCCTTTCCCCAGGACACCTTAAAAATGAATTTCTGGAGAAGGCTTCCCTAAAAAGCCATTTGGGTGCATCTGGGTAGCACTAGGCACAGAACCTTGAGTGGGGGAAGTTTTAGATTTCAGATATATTAGTAGTGCCACCCCACAGTTCAGAGTTTTAAAGCCAACATTGCTAATTTTATTTTCACTATAGTAATGAGACCAGGGAAACTCACATGCTGCCCAGGAAGCATCCTCATTGCTCTGGACGTCTGATTCTGTACTCTATTTTAATTTTGCTTTATTAAAATGTACTCACATTTACATCGAGCAAGGAATCCTTTAAAATCATGTAAACATTCTCTGGGAAAGAGATTCAAATCTCCATGGGGTGGGGGCTGAGCCATGAAAGATTTATTGGTTACTGCAGATATTTATACTCCTCGACAGAAACCCAAACTGAAGTAATAAAAGGGAAGGCCAGGAGCCATGGGATCTAGGTAGGTTCCATCCAAGCACATGTAATGGGACTCCAGGCTTAGAGTTACTCAAGGCAATAACCCAGGGCTTGGCACACCATCAGGCAGCCTACAGATGTATATAATGCCCTGAGTATTCTGGAAGAATGTAGTGCCAATGTAAAACAACAACTCTTGTGGATGGGAAGCAGCCTCTTCCCCCTTTCAGGCGTGTATCACATTTATCTGTGTTAACTGATATCTTCTCCCATTAGTCTGTGAGCCCAGTAAGAGCAGGGCTTGAGTATTATCCAACCTTTCTATCTCCTACAGGACTTCTATACACTGCAGGAGCTTCATAAATATTTCTTAAATGAATTTAAACTTCTCCAAAGGCTAATACCAGGCTGGGATAATAGAAGATTTCCAATAATACAAAGCCTCTAGCCCACAAACCTTATGATATGAACTGAGACTAAGAGTCTCTGAGCAGCAATTCTCCCCCTGTTCCATGATTGCAGAATCATGAGGGGAAGAGGACAGAAACAAAGAGAAGAGGACAGGATGCGGTAATGTCCAAAGCCTAGAAGATCAAGGTCCTGATCCCCTTCTGGCCTCCCTCGTAGGAGTCATAGGACTCTCCCAGAGAAAACAACTGAAGTCCTTAATACTTAGAGTCCTACTGATCTTTTCAGGCAAAAACGACCCAAGGATATTTTTGTTTCTTAAGGGGCAGGTTCATTATTGTTTTCAACAAATACTATCTGGAAGGCAAACAGATCCAGCAGCTGAGGGTGAGGTCCTAAGAGATGCAAGCCAGGAATAACTTTTCTGACAGCACAACAGGAAAACATTCATTTAAATCTAAGAAGGAAATTTAAAGCTGTTTTCCTACATGGCATTATTTCTTTTTTTTTTTTGGCTAGGCAATGGGGTTAAGTGACTTGCCCAGGGTCACACAGCTAGTAAGTGTTATGTGTCTGAGGCCGAATTTGAACTCAGGTCCTCCTGAATTCAGGGCCAGTGCTCCATCCACTGCACCATCTAGCTGCCCCTTACACATTAAACTAAATAACTGACAGCTAATATTCATAAAAGAAAAATGGAAATCAAGAATAAACTTGGGAGTATTTTGATTCAAATTCATCTCGAGAAGTCTAAATAATAACAGAAAAGAGAATATATGTATTCAGAGATGCTTGCATTCTTTAAATTAAATTTTAGGAAGGGAGCCAGGTGTAACAGAATAAGCAATGGATTTGGACTCAGAACAACTGGGTTCAAATCCCTGCTTAGCTATTTATTACCCAGGTTGTGTTGGATATTTAACTTCTCTGACTGTCAGTAAAAATGAGGGGGCTAGACTAGATGATCTCTAAGGACCCTTCCAACTTTAAAATCCTGTGAAAATAAGGAGAGGAAAAAAGATTTAAAATCAGAATTATGCATGAAAGATATAAGAAAATGAAGTCCAGTGCAAATACAGCTAATTGTGGGATATAAACAGTAGCACTTATGTAGAATATGCCCATTTTTATATTTTTGTCAAAGGTTTTTAAATTCCATGCTTTAAATACAATTAATTTTGCTGTGGCTCCCAACAGCATGCAGTGCATGTTTAGATACTTGACAGTGTGTCTACTGACAAAATAAACTACTATGGCAACATTAACTACTAACAGGAAGAAATAATGAAAAGCCAGAATTGCAAGCTAAAACCTCAGAAATACTGAAGTCACATTTAAGTAAAACATTGGAAATATATGTAATTCCACAGAATAAGTTATTCTTCCAGTTAAGTCATCTCATACTAATTAAACCATCAATAATAAAACTGACATTCCTCCTGAAAACAATGATGTGTAAACCAAATCGTCGTCATCATAACGAGGACAAAGAATGTATTGGTCAAGTCATTCCAAGGCTTTAGTTAACGTTTTGTTTCTAAGGAAATCTTAATCACATAAAAGACACAACGTTCTGGCCAAACTTTTTGGGTACCTTAGCTAGCAGTCTGAGTGAGAATAGAGAGACTGAGTTCTTTAGATATGGCTCCAAAGTGCATTTTACTTGGGCACGTGTATTTCAGAGTCTTCTTCTGACCACAGGGCAAGGCACAGAATGATGCATTTCTTCTCATTCTCCCAGCTAGAAAAGAGAATGATTGTTCACAGCCACCTCTGCAGAAATGGTTGGTAAGGAGTGGTGGTCAGGAGCCCCAGAGAAGGCTTAGTCTCCATCATCATCACTGCTGTCAAAAGCAACGGCATAAAATATGCTTTCCTCAGCCTCCAGGGCTTTAGGGCTGCCCAAGTTGTCAGAACTGAGATCACTGAACCACTTCATCTGCTTATCCCACTCGGTGCTGTCTGGAAAGGGAGAAGAGTAATCACAGAGGAAGAAGCTGTTGGCTGCTCTGGGGGGGCTAGCTGCCCTTTCTACCTTCTCTGCCCTTCCTCTTCCTTTCACTCCAGGCTCTAGAGTTTTGTAGGGACACAGCAGGGGCAAGGGTTGCCTGGGGTTCTCCACGTGATCCAGAAACCCATCTTGTTGTCTAGAGGCTGCAGAATGGGGATACCCTACTCTTGAGCTGAAAGCAGAGGTACTTCTGGAAAGGCCTGAAGTCTTCCTTCTTATAAACGTGCCTCTTTGGACTTTCCTGGGCTTTTTCCTCTTTGCTCTTTTTCTTATGTCTATACTCTTGCCTTTCTGTTCAAGCACTAGAGCTGCCGGCTGATACTCCTGCAGAATACACGCGGGCCTGGCCTTGGTGACCAAGTCCTTCATGGTCACTGATGAAAATTGAGATGTTTCTTGAACCATCAAGTCTCCTCTGCAGTGATCCCTGTAAATCTTGCTGCTAGAGTCATGATTCTCAGATAAACTCCTAGCAGGAGCCTGAGGCTCTAAATCAGTCTGCACAGCTTCATCCTTTACGCTCCGACTTTCTCCGTCAAGCCAAAAAGTGGCCGCACTTCTACTGCGCCTGAGAGTTTCACCTTCAACTTCGTGCTTCTCAGTCCTATATTTTTCACGTTGGTATAATGATGTGAGGGGATTCAGGCGAGGAAGGAGCATGATAGCTTCACCTGTATCTGGTGATTCTGAGATTGATTTCCCTTTTCTGGCGAGATTGGAGGCCTGGAGTAGAGCTGGAAGGGTCTGAGAACCTCCATCACTCACATGGAAGGGTAACCGAGCTTCTGAACCAAGTGAATACATTTCAGCGAAGACTTTGGGGAAGTTGAGCTGATCTAATTGGTCACACAGCCTCTGATGCTGTCTGCTCTGTTCGGCTGCTAGGACTTCAAGATGCTTCAGACTGGATTTCACATCTAAAAATTCTGCCTTTCTCTGGGGAAAGGCAGTCAAAGGAAAATCATTAGACAATGAGCATCAGCGATCTGTGACAGACACGCAGACAAACAGGGAGAGACAAAAACAAGAGCATTCAATAAAAGGAAAGAAAGCTCCAGATGCAAATATTTAATCCCCGTGATCTGGTATAAATAAATGCCTCATTCTAAAGAGATTTAGAGGGAAACAGACAACATTTCTTTGGGAAAGCAGGGCCCTGATGACGTCTTTATAATCCATCTCACTAGTGGGCCAGAGCTCCATTTGAGACTGGGGTCTGGGGAGGGGCCCATGGCCCAAGAGAGAGGATCCCAGCTCCATCACATTCCAGGACACTCTAGCAATGTTAGATTCAGACAAGGAGAAGTAAACCCTTGGGTTACATCAGTTCAAAGGGCTCTGTTAGTTCATGAGCTCCTCGAGGGCAGGGCCTATGTCACTGTTCACTTTTAGCCGGGCATCCAGGAGGCACTTTACTAAGGTTCGGTTGGATCCAAGATCCTGACTTACAGTTTCAAGGTGCTTCTCCATCTCCTGGGCTGTCTGCTCCATTCTGCTCCTGTCTCGTAGAGCGTCTAACAGTAAGTCACAGTGGGCTTGGGCATTCTCTTGCACTAAAAAAAAAGAATTTAATAAACACTACCCCTATCTTTCCTGGGGAGACTGAAAATACTTTGGTTTACAGTTCAGCATGAATTCTACTTAAAACTTCCTAACAGGGTATCCTACTTTGACATAGCAACTAAAGCATAGAATTTAGAGTCAGAGAAACCTTAAAAAAAATCCAGTTCAAGCCCCTCAGTTTATGAAGAAGGAAAAAAATTCCAGAGGGGGAAGTGACTTGACCAAGGTCATTTGGGTAGGAACAGCAAGATCTGAACTTCCTACAGACGGAATCCCTGCACTTCTGCATCTTTGCTCCCACTGTTCCCTCTGCCTAGAATGTCCTCCCCCCCCTCATTTTTGCCAACTGAATTTCTACCTGTCCTTTACACACCAACTCAAATGCCACCTTTTCTAGGGAACGACTCCCCATCTCCTGTCACTAATGACATCCCACATCAGACTTCTCATACTCTGTTGTAAGAGTGTATAGTACAGTTGTTAATGTTGGCATCTCACTGCCGTAACTAGACTATCAACTGCATGAGGGCAAGGATCTTGTTTCCCATTGTCCCAGTGTCTGAGCACAGTATTCTGAACATGGTGGGCATTTAACAAATGTTTCTTATCATTCTGACTCCAAGTCTGGAGCTTTTTTGGGCTCCAGAAATACAGTGTCTGCTAATTTCTGTGTGACCATGGGCAAGCCACTTAACCTGAGCCTCAATTTCTTTATCTGTAAAATGGGGATGATATCTAGACTCCTTACTTCACAGGGTCATTGGGAAGATCAAATGAGATAATGCAAGTAAGAAAGCATTTTGGAAAACTTAAAAGCATTCTACCAATAGCAGTCATCAGCTACACCAGGCTGCCTTCCAGGTAAGAGACTTTTAGAACAAAGGAAGGGTCAGCGCTCATCTCCTGAGGGAGTCTCAGATTGCTGAAGTATGACTTTTCCTTTCTCCTCAGAGAGCCCATGTTCCCAAACACAGCAGAGAGAAGATCCCCTTGGGCCAAATCACAGGCCAGAGTGAGAAAACCAGCTCTGCTCAGGCACCCTCCCTCCTGGCAAAGTGATGGGGCCCATCTACCAAGCTTCTTTATACATAACCCCACCTATGCAAGTCAGAAGCCTTCTCTGTCCTGATGGGTGCTTGGAGATAAGGAGGTGAGGACAAGAGTGTGTGTCCCCAGACACGGGGCTAGCAGACTCCTGGCCATTTCCCCTTGGCCCAGACACAAGCTATGATTTATTTATCTGCTTCTGAAGCAAGAAAGGGATGAGAATCAATTCTCCCTCACTAAGTAGACCTGAGACATCCAGGGGAAGCTTTCACAGTAGAGGTCTCACCATTTGCCTTGAGACATATGACCTGACCTAGGCTGAACCCATACTTTATATCTATCTGGGGTGAAGGAACGTGGCTCAGCCGCCAGCTCCCACCTTACCTTTCCAGGAAGGTTTATAAAGTACTGAACACATACCTGAGTCACAGAAGGTCAAAACTAGAAGCAATAGTACACATCACCTCGTCCCATTCCATGCAAGTGGGGAATGTATATAATGTTTATGGGGGGGAGAGAAGCCCATGGTCACCCAGCTAAGTCATGGCAGAACCAGGCTGAGACACAAAAGATACAAACCCCAAAGACATAAACCTAAAGATGACAGCAGGGAGTAGATGAAAAAGCCCACTGGATTTGAAGTCAGAGAATCTAAGTGAAAATTGTAGTTCTGCTGTTGATTCCCTGGGTGACTTTGAAGAAGCCACAGCCCCCTCCTTGGGCCTCACGCTCCTCAGCTGCAAAATAAGGGGGTTGGACTAGATGGTTGTTAATACCCTTCCTAAGTCCCATGATGCTAACTTGTAAATCCAATTCTTCTTTCTCTCATCCTACTCAAGGCTTTCTTTCAAAGCAGAAAAGAAAAAGTCAGCCTAGAGTGAGATTCTGCTTTAATCTTCCCTTCCCTCCCTCCTACCTCCTTGGGGAGAAGTAGAACTGCTCGCTTGTGGCTCAGGGACTAATTGTGTAGGCTGATAATGGGCTGGGGTCACTGCTTTTAAAATGAGTTGCACAGCTGCCTCAGTCAGATTAGTTTAAGAATTGGGTTAAACGCTAAACCTTCACAGCATCTCAAATGGTGCACCTGAACAGAGCGTTCGAATGCTTAAAGCAAGGCCGTCATTGGCTGAGTATCATTAAAGCCCATGGAGTTTGATTCAGTGACACTCAAGGTGTGTGGCAGCTGTGCATTCCAGCTGAAAACAGTCATCCAAACCCCCATTCTAACACAAGGCCCTTTGTCTCCTCTCCTCTCATCGGCACCCCAGGGAAGCTGTGAGCAGCCTAACCTGCAATTTACAATAAATGCTGGCTCTCCCACTATCCACGAGCTGCTGACAGGCAGCCTTGCTGCTTCCCTGCCCCTCCCAGCGTGCTTCTACGTGCCGGGAATCACAGCATCTGAGAGCTGGAAGAGAGCTTAGACATCATTTCATTTAGCACAACCCTCTCATTTTATAGAGAGGCAAACCGAAGCCCAAGGAAGTCACTCCTTCAGGCCATAAAAGTGGAACTAAGACGCCTATGAGGCAGGTACTGGATAGTTATTCTCCTTCATACTTTATTTATTTTTTTTTAGGTCATAAACCATAGATTAAAGTTTATTGTGCATATGCTTACAGGAAGGTAGAGAAAATAATAAGGATGTTCTAAAAACTGATGGTTCTGAGAATGTAGCAAGTTATTTCATCTCTTTGTTCTAGTGATTTGCAACTGTTTGGGGTCATACTTTATTTTTATTGATCCATAGACTCATAGAATGTCAGAGTCAGAAGAGATCTTAGACACTGGTTCTGTAAAGATTCAAGCAAACACCACCTGACTGGGCCCTGGGCCCCAAAACACTAGCACCTTGGACACCAACCACGATGACCCCCCAAGATGGGGGGTGCCCCATTTTGTAGTAGCACCAGTGGAAAGTGATAGACTGGTCCTACCTGTGAATTTAGTGGAGTCCTATTAGAGGCCCAAGCCAACACTTCCCCAGGCCTATGGCTAGCAGATCCAGACCGCTAGTCACAGGATCAGGAAGGATTCTATATGATCCTAGATTGAGAACTGGAAGGGAGCCTCCAAACACATCTAGTCTAACCCCTTCATTCTACAGTGAAGAAAGGAAAGACCAGAGAGATTAAGTGATTTTTTGTGGCTATTTAGTCGTTTCAGTCACGTTTGGCTCTTCATGGCCCCATTTTGGGTTTTCTTGGCAGAGATGCTGGAGTGGTTTGCCATTTCCTTCTCCGGCTCATTTTACAGATTAGGAAACTGATGCAAACAGGGTGAAGTGACTTGCTCAGGGTCACAGAGCTAGTAAGCATCTGAGGTCACATTTGAACTCAGGTCTTCCTGACTCCAGGCCCAGAACTCTATCCACTGTGCCCCCCAGCTGCCCCATGGCAGAGGTGAGATTTGGGCCTCTGTCTTCTGACACCAAATCTATTGTTCAGGGCCTCCTAAGTGGTTTGGAGTTGCCTTCTCCTGTTGGGAGGAACTAATGAAATAATCTATGTAGTGCACTTTGTAAACCTTCAAGTGCTCTGTAAGTGTTCACTATCACTATTATCTCTGCTCACTTTCTTGTCCCAATTTGCCTCAATTTCTCCATTTCCCAGGAGGGGAATCTACTGACTGCTTCATCCTGTGCTATAACACAGTGGTAAGACAGAGGGAGTGGAGTTGAAGGTGAGTTCAGTCAGGCCCCTGGAGCGTTCAATCTCAGGCATTTGCTGACTCCCAACCTGTTATCCTTCCTGATATCTAAGAGAACAAACAGGTGCCTCTGCCTGTCAATCACAGGTCCCTTGAGCATCAGAGATCCAACCAAAAGGCTCATGTTTCCCATACTGTGATGAGCAAACATTCACCTCCTCTCCTAAACCTTGTGTTTCAGGATACTCAGCTGCCTTGGTGAAGATCCGGGGCTCTTGCTGATACTTCCTCATTCCCTTACATTTTGGCTTTAGGATTCCCAAGTGCCTCGCCTGTTCTACCTGCTCCCTTTCAGCTTGGCCTTTGGAACCCCTATTTTATTACCAAATTTCTCTTGTCAGAACCAGGCCCTGCCCAGAAGACACAGCACCTCTGGCTGTAACTTTTATCTCCATGATGCAGAACTCAGGATTTCCTCTCCTTGTGATCAGGGATATTTCCATCTCTCCCTCTTGCCTCAATCTGCCTACATCCTTCTGCATTGGGGCTTCCAGTCTTTAACCTCTCCCTGCTCTGTCCTAACCTTCCTTGCTTTTAAGTCCAGACCCAATAATTAAACAGTTGAACTCCCACCTTAGGTTACCCCCACCATCTGCACTGTCCATGCCAACTTGTGTGCTGCTGAATGCCGCTGGAGGAAGTTATACATTGGCACTGAATAAATACTTGTTGATTGACTTGATGCTTATTGGGTCCATAACAAATGTCTTTTCCAGGTTCTGCTGGACCCTCGCTGCTGCACGGCAGTCGTTTTAGTCTTCTGATTGACTTGCTGTTGCACTACCCCAGGAATGGTTGCATACCTCTTTTCTTCCCAAGCTCCCCAAGTCAGCCTTACCCCTCTTTTCAGTAGAGGACTTTGAGAAAACTGAAGCCACGCATCACCTAGTTCCTTTTCTCCCCTGGTCTACACCACAAAAACATAATAACTTCCCATTCTCTCCTTTGCTCCTCAAGTCTCGGAGAGAGAGGTGGCCCTTCTCCTTGTCAAGGCCAACCCCTCTATTTGTGCCCTGCAGTCTCCTATGGGAGCACTCCCCTTCTCTCTTGAGCTCATGTCCGATCTCTCCTTATCCACTGGATTCTTTTCTGAAGCCTGCGAACATGTCCAAGTGTCTCCCATCCTTTCAAAAAATCCCTCCCTCAAGTGCTCATCCTGTACCTCTCTTTCCTTCTAGCCCCACCTGCCTTCACTTCTTTTCTTCTCCTGCACTCCTCCACCCTCGTGGTCTGG